AAATCTTCAGACCACACTCTATGCATTGCACTGTCGTAAGTGGTATCAGACGGGTGAACCACCCTGCTGGACCTTGTTGTACTGTTGAACTACTTTTATAATACATTGTTTCTTGCAAAAGAGGACTCTTGTGTGCTTATTGCCCACCGCAGCACACTGCACCTACCCAACACCCAAATCTTTAAAAATGCAATTTATCAATTTATTTTCCAATTCTCCAAGTATTTTTTGGAGTTTTCCTGTCAGCCCTCGACATAAGATGCTGCGTTTGGAAGTCCTGGTACATTGCAGCAGAGGAAGACTCAGGCCTAGAAAGGCAGAATAATTCTAAACAAGAGTAAAAATGTCAATCATTTCAAGACAGCTTGTTTTACCAAAGCAAACTTTTTTGTGTGTTTTTCTCAGATAGAGAAGGGAAGGGTTAAAACATTGGAGAGGAAATCTTTCCAAAATGAGAGAAATCTTCTCTTAGACAGTTGTCAAGGCCACGTGAATGTCTTTTAGAAAAATTTCCCTCTATTTCTGTTCTGATGACAGATCAAAACATTGGATTTTTTTCCCTCACTTTTATTACTGGTAACTATGGTGCCGAGGCAAACAGAGAGAGTCAGTTTCTTGGGGACAGCAATAACAAAATAAAACGGAAAGGGGTTCTAACACTTCCATACTCTAAAGTCTTTTTTCATTGTTTTGGATAGATGCACTTTAAAGCTGAACTCCAGGCATCCCTTCAGTCTTGCACAGTTGTACAGGCTCTTCTTCTGTATTGAAATTCCATAGTCTGATTTCATTTCACCCTGTGAGCTTCTCACAGTGTGCATTGGAAGGTGCAGCAAGTTTGATAGAGGCCGCTTCGTTTCCTGGCTGGAGGGCATCAAGTATCATCTAATCTTTTCTTCCCCATACTGTACTGAGGCAGTATGCTGTGATGTTTTCAGAAATGTTGTACTATATTTTCCTTCTAAGTGGTCTCCAAACTGCACCAGATGTGGCTCTTTGCTTGCTTTTACCCAGCCTTTGCGGCATTATTCCCCCCACTGTCACCAGTGATGGGGCACTATTCCTCCTACTGATACCAATGATGGCGCACTATTCCTCCCACTATCACCAATGATGGGGCACTATTCCTCCCACTGTCACCAATTATGGGGCACTATTACTCCCTACTTACACCAATGATGGGGCACTATCTCTCCCACTGTCACAAATGATGGGGCACTATTCCTCCCACTGACACCAATGATGGGGCACTATTCCTCCCACTGTCACAAATGGTGGGGCACTATTACTCCCTACTGACACCAGTGATGAGGCACTATTACTCCCACTGACACCAGTGATAAGGAACCTTTCCTCCCACTGTCACCAGTGATGGAGAACTATTCCTCCTACTGACCTCAATGATGGGGCCCTGTTTCTTCCACTGACACCAATGATAGGGCACTATTCCTCTCACTAACACCAATGATGGGGCACTATTACACCCAATGACTCCAATGATGGGGCACTATTCCTTCCACTGACATCAGTGATGGGGCACTATTCCTCCCATTGATACCGACGACAATGGGGTGCTATTTTTCCCACGGACACCAATGATGGGGCACTATTCTTCCCACTTTCACTAGTGATGGGGCACTATTCCTTCCACTGACACCAATGATGGGGCACTATTCCTTCTACTGACACCAATGATGGGGCACTATTCCTTCCACTGACACCAATGATGGGGCACTATTCCTTCCACTGACACCAATGATGGGGCACTATTCCTCCCACTGACAACAATGATGGGGCACTATTCGTTGCATTGATACCAATGATGGGCTGCTATTTTTCCCACGGACACCAACGATGGGACATTATTCCTCCCACTGACACCAGTGATGGGGCATTATTACTCCCCCTAATATGAATGATGGGGCATTGTTTACTCCAACTGACACCAGGACATTTTCTTCTCCCACCGGCCATAGTCCAGTCCTCCTAAAGTTTGAAGAGCAGTAAACTGGTCCTTCATTTAGAAATTTTGGAGACCCCTATTCTAAAGGACAGATGAGCTTTACCATTAGCTATCTCCATGAGTGACATATGCAGTAAATGGCAGGATCTAAGCAGATACTGTATGGTCACCAGGACAGATTTATTCTACCCAAGCACTAATCTACTCTTAACAAAACCTAAAAAAATAAGGTTTTAGCTTCAGGCAGTCTACTGCTTCTTCTTTCACTGTCCAGTCACCAGCCGAGGGAGGGACAAGACCTATAAGTGGTACTTAACTGCAGCAGAGAAACATCATGTCTCCTACCCTGCCAGATTACACTGTGCTGTGTGGTGCAGCTGTGTGAATCACAGGACTGGATGGACAAAGAATACAAATCCTTTGGCAGGTAAATCAGTTCTTATATATGTATTTTGTCTGCGGATTTGCCTAGAGCTCATCTTTAACAACTATTTTTTTTACTAGACTGGAACTCTTGTTCAGTCAGTTATAACTCTGTTTACAAAGTGTATAAATTTGGATTTGCAAGAGCTTCAGCCGTTTCTCATGAGCTTTCATAATGCTCTAACATAATAGCAAGTGTTTGGAAGCAGGGCTCTCTTAATGGTGTTTATGCAGTCTAAACATGACAGTCAATTTAGCATCTCATACATTAGCCTGTCTAAGGTGTAGTGATTCATGTCATATAAATCATGATACAGTGCCGTACCTCTGACAACCACATACAGATGTTGTTTTTTTCGGTTTTGTTGTTTTTGTGTTTCTCATTAAATTGATCACTCTCGTGCTATTAGCTTTCTTGTCTTGAAACTTGTCTCGTACTTGTATTATGGTGCCGTGATCTGTTTACTGCTGCAATGTTTCCCGTCACCATTTGCTGGCTGTGAAGAACAGTCTGGTCATTTTGTTGCTCAGAACTGGTATATTAAAGATATGAACAAATGAATGCTGAGATTTTTTAGCCTAGACCACTATAGCAAGAAAAATGTTGTATTCTGTCAACTGTATATGGTTAATCCCTTCGTACCAACTGTACGCATATGTGGCCCCACTGGACTGGCTTTTTTCTGTGGGGTCACATATATGCGTATCTGTCTTTGTGCTGGGATTGTTCATGTCTTGGAGAGCCAAATGACCCTGTGGTATATAGCAGGCCCCCTTTAGCACAGTGCTCCAATCTGTCAGTTCAGTTGCAATACAAGTGCCAACTTTTCTTAAAGTGTTACTAAACCCACAACAGTAACATCAGCCTGTATATGCAGTAAAGCATGCTTGTTATAGTCACTAGGTAACCTTAGGGGTTAATCCTCCACATTGTGTAAAAAAGATGTTGGATCCTGTCTTCTCTGATCCTCCCCTTCTTCCACAGTCCCCAACACATCTGCTGATAGAACAGAGCTCTAGGAGGCACTCTGCACATGCTCAGTTTGATGTGTATTGCTAGAGAGGTTTTTTTTTTGGGGGGAGGGAGAGTGTATGTGATTGGCACAGGGCCAATCAGCACTGTCCAGACAGAGGGTCAGGGGCCATGCAGCCTCATAGGACAGTGAAAATAAAAAAACTCCTCCTACAGGCTTTAATCATGCTCAGGCGGACACTGCCACAAGATTGCTATATACTGCTGATAAGAAAATGTATTTAGTAGTTTATATATTCTAACATAATTAAATTTTTCATGTTCAGTGTACTGTAGAAGACCAGAATTAGTGAATGCAGAGCTCTGAGTTTAGTAACACTTTAATGCTGGCATTTTTGGCACTGGGGGCTCTGCTATGCACCAGAAGGGTTACTTTATTTTTTGCATCCTGCAACAGTTTTACCTTTTGCTGAATTTTATATAATTCATTCTAGTCAGAATTACTAAGCTTATCAAAATGCTTCTAGATGAGACTGCAACCCTGTTATCATAGGATTATTTTCTGAGCAACTTTCCTTTATAAGGCAACAGAAGCAACAGAGTGTATAACCCAAAGAATGCATAGCATACATGTTCACGGTTTCAAATTCAGGGTCTTATAAGAATATTCACAACTATGGCCCCATTTAAACTTGAAATTAGGCTCTAGTGCAAAATTCGTCAGGAAGAGGCCAGAATAACAGGTGCTTGCGAATAGCTGTATATAGCTGTACGGATATAATCAGACATCAACCAATTACTTGCGATTAAGGATAGATGTTCATCCCTCAACCTACTGTCTCTATAGAGAAACAATCATTAGACGTGCGTTTTGCTTTGTTACGATTCACTTTTCGGATGTAAACTAATTTCCAAATGGGCATAGTGACAAATGTCAACGAATCCGAAAAAGGTTATAATGAAATTAACTAATGCATTTGTTTCATTCGGATAACATCACATGATGTGATAGTAGTTTGATCATGAGGAAATTAATTCAATTTTCGAATTCCTTCAATAATTCAGATTTGGAAAAAAAAATTGTTAATTCCGATGCACATGGCACCTATCGATATTGTATAGTCAGCTCATCATTTCTCTTGGTGTGTTGGACTAGCGTCCGAAAATATTGAATGCTTCCAATTTGAATCCGTCCAGTTTGATGATATATATCAAATATAATACAATCTTCCATGGAAACTGCTAAAGTTTTTGAATCCACCTGGACCAACAAAGATACAAAACAAATTCCAATAATGAATTGGTTCAGCAAAGCGAATACGATGAAACAGAATTCTTCAATGAACGAACGCATATGAAACTATACAAAAATTTCTGGAGTGCACATGCTTAATAATTATCTGTTCCTAACCACAGGTAATCAGTGAATGTCCAAATCCGCTGATTCTTGTTTCTGCAATTTGCACCATATCCCTGATCACAAGTGTGAATGGGGTCAATGGGATTTGACTGTTTGGACAGCCAGGTGCAGATATAAATCAGGATAAAAATTAGGTTCACTTTGCAACTAGGTTATGTACCCTGAGTCAGATAAAATGCAGATGTCTGAACGGTGTATAACTTATATTTTTACATTCTTAGTGTAACTATAAAAAGGGAATGATTAATGCCCATCCAGCTGACTTGGTAGCAGAGGCGGACTGCGACAACTCATGGGGCCCCCAGGCAATAGGGGATCATGGGGCCCCTGTGTCCTTGCCCAAACTCAAAAAAGCCTATGAAAAAGGTACCAGGGGCATCTCATGGGGCCCCCTACTGACCCCGGGCCCTCGGGCAGTGCCTGAGTTTCCAAATGGTCAGTCTGCCCCTGCTTGGTAGGCAGAAGTGATGATTGTAATGATTTTGCTACTGCACATACTCTGGCTCTCCCACCCCAACATAGTTTACGGCACTGTGATTTTTTTTAGGTCAGTGTCTATTAAAACAATCCTGATATAGAGATTGTCTGAGCACAGCAGTAGAGAGCGTCTGATACATCAGTAGAGAGTGTCTGAGTGCAGTATGAAAATGCATATCTAAACTGATGGCATGGTGACTGGATTATGTATGTTCAACCTCTATCTGATGTTGTCAATAGCCAGTTTCATAGCATAATTTGGAAAAAAAAAAAGCACATCTGTTTAGTTTACCAATAGCTAATAAAGAATTTGACAAAGAAGATGTCTGTAGAGCAGAGAATAGTGATGGGAGCGGAATACAGACATGGGGGGGTTTTATTATTATTATTATATGGTATTTATATAGTGCCAAAGGGTTTGCTCAGCGCTGTACAATAGCAAGGGGGACAGAACATGAGACAAGACAGAAACAATACAATACATGAGGGGTTCAAGGGCCCTGCTCTTTCGAGCTTACAATCTAGGAGGGAGGGGAAAGTGGTACAAAGAGGAAATAGCTGTGGGGGATGGAGTGGTGGGAGGAGTGGTTATGGGGAGCTTTGAGGAGCAAATCAGAAAAGGGGCAGGGACTTGGTTCTGTGATTTTATTAAGAGGTTATTAACTTGAATAGGGTTGAGGGGTGTATGGGATGCCCAAGGAAACTGAAAACTTGAGGACAAACTCCTTAGTAACTATGTACAGATGTGGACAAAAAAAAAAGTCTCTCCTTTAAGAGCATTCCAGCTCTCTGGTGTACCTCCGCAGACCCCATATGAATTCTCCACTTCACCCAGCTGCCTGTGGGCATTCCCTGGGCAAAGGGGTCCACAAACTGCCAGGTTAACACAGCAGTCCCAGATGGGAAGGTAGTTGAGTTTTCCACCTGACTGCCCTCTCCCCTTATTCGGCCCAGGGAATGTAAGAGTACTCACACTGTCCTCTCCTGATAGCTTAATTGGTTGGTGGCTGCCTTCAGGCTTTTTTGTGGGACTGGCTCCTTCCTTGCTGTTCAGGATGTCCTCCCTAGGAGACGGTGGCACAGTGGAGATCCTCTTCTCCAGAAACTGTCTGTAAATAGGCCCTCTCCCTGGGCCCCTTCCCAGGCTCCACACTCCAGCCTCTTACTTTATCTTCCACCCGACACTACTCCCTTCCACCCAGGCTCTGCGATACTTAAGGGTTGCCTTAGTCACAATGCCCAGCTTCCTGCCAGAGGATCGGCCAAGGACCCTCAAGTATGCAGATCCGAGATTTCTCCACTCCTCCAGAAAAACTCTCAGGATTCTTGGAGGGGTGGGAGGGCTCCAGAGTCTCTGATCTTCAGAACCTTCCTAGCCTGTCCTGAGGTAACCTCTCTACCTCACTCCAAGGCTGACTCATCCCAAGCTGCTACTCAGCCTCTGCCTAAAAAGAGAAAACAACAAAACCTACCTAGTTAAACTAGAGGGCATTACAAATGTACAATATGAAATTAAATTTTTCTGTTATTTTGGCTTTTGTGGACTTATAATCTGGACACCTGTGGGTAAATCCAACAACAAAACTAAATAGCATTTTGAAGCAGAAGCCTCAAAGGTGATACTCTAGCTCAGGCAGTTTTTAGTCACCATCTTTTTCTGCAGGCTCATGTTAGTAAGCTTTACAGATCAAAGGTAGCTTTGCTTATAAAGGAAATGTTTTTTTTTTCTGCAAGTAAACTGCACGTCAAAACTGATTCCCCGATAAAAATCAAAAGCAGCCATGAAGCAGGCTGATGCAGTTTAGTGGGGCTTCACATGCAGGTTAAAAGGAGGTCAACTGCAGGTTAAAAGCATCTACTGTATCTCAGTAATCTCAGAAGTATCTCAAACTGATCCAATGCAAGCAAAATGCTCAAAGTAACCTGCAGTCGCCAATTGATGCAAGCCCAAAGCCAGTCAACTTAGGCCCTAATACAAAAGGGGACACAAGGATTTAGACTACAAGAAAAGGATGTAGTCTATATGGAAAAGCTATTCATGTTTACTTGCATGATATTTCAATACAATGCAAAAGGCAGTGAGTTTAGGAACTCCTTTTAAAAGACTTAGGGATTGATTTACTAATGCAGGCCATAGACGGGTCGAAAATCGGCCGATTCTTCGGCCAAAAATAAAATCGGACGATTTTCGGATCGTTAGTGGGCGATTTGGTCGGCCGTTTTTCGGTATTTTGGCCGTTTTTGTTTTTTCGGTAAAGTTGGAAAAAAAATCGGCCAATTTTGCCGATCGGCCGATTTTCGCGGCAATTAGTGGGCAAATCGGCCGATTTTTTACCGATAAAAAATCTGCGCATGAGCAGTGACCTGCAAGAGGAAGACAAAAAGAAGAAAAAGAAGAAGAGGAAGAGGATGAAGAAGAGGATGAAGAAGAAGAAGAGGAAGAAGAGGATGAAGAAGAAGAAGAGGATGAGGATGAGGATGAAGAAGAAGAAGAAGAAGAGGATGAAGAAGAGGATGAAGAAGAAGAAGATGAGGATGAAGAAGAAGAGGAAGAAGAGGATGAGGATGATGATGAAGAAGAAGAGGATGAGGAAGAAGAAGAGGATGAGGATGAAGAAGAGGAAGAAGAAGAAGAGGATGAGGATGAAGAAGAAGAAGAAGAAGAGGAGGAGGAGGAGGAGGATGATGAAGAAGAAGAGGATGAGGATGAAGAAGAAGAAGAAGAGGATGAGGATGAAGAAAAAGAAGAAGAAGAAGATGAGGATGAAGAAGAAGATGAGGATGATGAAGAAGAAGAGGATGAGGATGAAGAAGAAGAAGAAGAAGAGGATGAGGATGACGATGATGAAGAAGAAGAGGATGAGGATGAGGAAGAAGAAGCGGATGAGGAAGAAGAAGAAGAAGAAGAAAGAAGAAGGAGGAGGAGGAGGAGGAGGATGAAGAAGAAGAGGATGAGGATGAAGAAGAAGAAGAAGAAGAAGAGGATGAGTATGAAGAAGAAGAGGATGGGGATGAAGAAGAGGATGAGGATGAAGATGATGAAGAAGAAGAAGAGGATGAGGATGAAGAAGAAGAAGAGGATGAGGATGAAGAAGAAGAAGAAGAGGATGAAGAAGAAGAAGAGGATGAGGATGAAGAAGAAGAAGAAGAAGAAGAAGAAGAGGATGAGGATGAAGAAGAAGAATAATAATAAGAAGAAGAAGTAGGATGAAAATAAGAAGAATTCCAGTCCAGCAAAAAGTGTCTCTGCAGAGAGCTCCGCTATTTCTGACAGTTCTCTGACAGTTCTTTGACATTTACAGCGGTTGAAACATTGTATCTATTTGTTTCCGAATAAAAACATCTGTATCCTAAATGGAAACAAATAGATACAATGTTTCAACCGCTGTAAATGTGAAGGAACTGTCAGAGAACTGTCAGAAATAGCGGAGCTCTCTGCAGAGACACTTTTTGCTGGACTGGAATTCTTCTTATTTTTTTTTACCATTGATGGTAACATCGGCCGCTTGAACGACCGAATTTTCGTTTTTTAAAAGAAAAAATCTGCCGTTTTTCTCCCCATCTATGGCCTGCATAAATCTGGAGAGTGCAAAATCTGGTGCAGTTCTGCATAGAAACCAATCAGCTTCCAGGTTTTATTGTCAAAGCTTAATTGAACAAGCTGAAGTTAGAAGCTTGGCTACCATGCACAGCTGTACCAGATTTAGCTCTCTCTAGTTTTAGTAAATCAACCTCTTAGGCTGGCCATACACTATACAATTTTCTGTCCAATTTCTGCCCAATTTCCTTTAGATTTACCTTCAACTGTGTAGTGCAAGGGCCTGCCTAATTGGATACATCTGTAAGTGTTGTTTGGGTTTGCCCTCATATTATATGGTTTTTGGTAAATCTAAAGCAAAAATCTCAAGAAAATTGTATAGTGTATGGCCAGCTTTAGTCTACACACAACTGACATCTTGGTTATGGAGGGATGCTGGTGGGCTGAATCACCCGTTGGTTTCTTCTATTTTTCTGTATTTCTAATAGCTAGTTATTCTTCCATGTGTGCCTATATCTGCTTCTGCCTTACAGTTAGCCTTACCCTCTGTTCTATTTAAAAATACACTGACATACTTTCCTAGACCCATCCTTTGCAGCCAGTGAGAGTACTTGTTGATTTTAATATTAGTAGATTTCTGGTCATCTGCTGAAGTTTCAGCCTTGCTGCTGTCAGTAGTAGTTTGAGATATCTATTCTCAGGATAAGCGAGATTTTGGCTTTATAGTCCAAATGTGGTATGTAGACTTATCTTGAAAAGTCAGACACGTGGCATGTGTCCTCCCTTACATGGATCAACTCTTTGTCATTAGGTGGTTAATTGCACCCTAACAGTGCAGAAAGATGAATTCCTTCAGTTCTTATTATGCATGAAATAATCTGAAGTGGATGTTGGATCTTCAGTAGATGTAAAATCTTATTTAAGGTGATAAGTTCCTATTGTAACTCCCTTGTAGTGTTGGAGGTATGGATGCCTACATTATTTTTAATAGGATGTTTATTCTAAAAGGAAAATGAAAGTACATTACAGCTGAAACACAATGTGATTGTTTTCACAACATCCAATATACAAAAAGAGGGAAGAGGAAAAAAAAACACACAGTAGTTATGAAGTAATGACCTAACAGTACCGCATCTGAGTCAGTTCGAGGGTGAGACCAAGGGTGTAGGGAACCCATCAAAAACAGACAGCTGAAAAATTAAGGGAAGGGGGAAACAAGGGGAAGGGTGGAGGGGAGGTGGGCAAAAGAACATGAAGAAGGGAGGAGCAAGGCAGAGGGGAGGGAGAGAGAGAAAAGGAGATGCTGCCATAAACCCCCTCTTAAAGATAAAACCAGAGGGCAGTGAGGCAAATGTTCCCATTGTAGACCCTTAGCAAGATGTCCAGGGGAGCTATACCTTGTCGTATTTCCAGGGATAGCCCCTACACTGGAAGGCTTGGGGG